CCCCCCCAATCCCCATGCCACTCCTGGGCACTCAGGTTCCCAGTGAAGTCAAGCTTTATTGCCACATAGACTCTCCTGCTCCCTCCCCTGGCCATCTCTGTACCTATGAGAAGGTGGCTTGGTTTTAAGAAGCAAGCAGCCAGGGAGAGCCAGAGCGGGGTGGGAGGGGGTCCTAGGAAAGGAGGCTAAGTGATCCCACCCCAGGTTTCCCTGAGTGGTGCCCAGCCCCAAGGCCTTGGGGGCTGGTTTGTGCACTGGGGGAGGAAAACTCATCCCTACGTGACCCTCCCTGGGGCCTCCAAGCACAACAGGATAGGGAGCCCCAATGAGCCTCTCCTACCCACCATGATGCCCTGTGGGGTGCAAGGAGCACATGATGAAGCACATGGTTGACCAAACCATATGTGCAGTTCATAGGGAGCCCCTGGCCCAGTGTCTGGTCAACAGTCAAGGCCAATGGACACCAGCAGATTCTCGAGTGCATGTAGCCGCCGCTCCATCTCCTCAATGTTGCTATAGGTCTGCGCCCTGCTGGTCATGTGGAAGCGGATGTCATCTACCAGTGGGATGGAGTCCTGCTCCTGCCGGGCTGCCACAGATGCTGCTTCCTCCTTCACGGCTTCCGAGAAGTCCTCCCGCTCCACCAGCTATGAACAGGCTCGCTCAGGACACACCACTACCTGCCACCCACCACAGCCTGCCCCCACCCACTGAAGCTCCCACCAGCCCACCTTCTCGATAACCTTGGCCATGTACTCAGTGCACTGGTCCTCAAGGCGTGCCAGGCGGAACAGCTTCGCCACACGCCACAAGCCTACCACGCTGTCTTCATCCAGCAGCTGGGCCAGACTGCGGCCACACAGTCGTTTCAGGCCCGGCAACAGGTACATGTCAGCCACGCTCAGCACGTCACAGGCCACCTCAGGTGGCACCTGAAGTAAAATAAGGCATGAGGGAGTGTGCACCCTAAGGCCACCAAGGCCTCTCAGGGACTGGCAGTAAGGCAGGGACCTGCTGGGCAGAGGGTAGAGGCTTCAGGCACAGCAGGAGCTTCCTACCAGCCAGGTGCCTGGCCCAGGTCCCTGCAGGCATCCATGGGACCAGAAGGGACACAAGAGCCTAGGGTTCCCATGCCTCAGGCAGGACAGATCCTGGACTCTGAGTCACACAGACCTGAGGTCGGAAATTCTAGCTGTGGGACCTTGGGCAAATCACTTCACCTCTGTGCTTCAGATGCTCTGTAAGATGCAATCATGCCCACCTTAAAAAGCTGTCAGAAAAGTAAGTTGCTTCTGGCAAAACTGAGGCAGGGACCCTACTAAAAAAGTGGAGGAGTAACTATTTACCAGCTCCCTCCCACCCACAGAGGCTGTGGGATTTAGGTCACAGCCATAGTTGTACCCTGTGCTGGGAGGGACCATGTGCTCAGCTCTGGGCCAACTCTGGATGGCCACAGGGAGCAGGCTGGAAACAGAGCAGACAGGACCTCTGCTAAGCCCATCATATGCCATGTGCACGGTGCTTACCTGTGCCAGGCACTGTACTTGCAACATGCACATTCATTTGCAAAGACCTTAAAAAGTAGTAACTATCAGTATCCCCATTTTCTAGAGGGGGAAACTGAGGCACAAAGTAGTTGAGTAGCCCAAGATCACACAACTCTGGGGTGGGGGTGGGGCTAACCCAGAGTCAAACCAGGTGTGGAGCCCAAGTCCTTGCTCTGAGTAATTAAGAAGCTGCCCTCTGGGTGGCAAAGCTCTTTCTGGGGTTGGGATGGGCCAAGGTGGATGCCAGGTGGCAGGGGCCAAAGAGCTGAACTACACCACAGGAGACATAAAATAAGTAGGTAGGAGGGGTTCTCTAAAGGGCTAAGTGGTAAATTCTGTGTGCATAGGGTCTCTGTCACAGCTGCTCAGCTCTGCCATTGTGCAAAAGCAGCAACAGTCAGTACAGAAATGAATGGGTGTGGCTGTGTTCCAGTAAAAATGTATTAACAAAACAGGCTGGACACAGTGCAGCCCAAGATGAAGTGGACAACCAGCAAGCTGCCTGCCCAGGGGCACTCCCCTCCACATGGAGAAACAAGCTTCTCTCTTCTGTAAGTTACCATATTTGGGGGTTTCCCTATTACAGTGGCCTTTGCACACACACATACAACCTGGCAGAGAATACTCTTGGCACTATCTATTGACACCCATGTCCCCCTATGTTAGGGAGGCCTTGGGGCAGGTGAAGACACAGGGAGGCCAAGAACCCCAGGGGTCTGTAGCAAACTAAAGGCTGGAGGCTCAGGGCTCCCCACTATTGTTGGAATCCAGGGTTACTGTCCTCTGGCTGAAAAAATTAGGGACCCCACGTGGCAGACACTTTGTCGCCAAGTATCATGTGCTCATGACATAGGTATTGTCACTCATTCTTGGTGTGGAATCTACAGATGATCCCTCTACCTAAAAGAAGACTCTAAACAGGCCCCATACTCCCTCTAGCCTCATGGAAAACCTGTCCCTCAGAGCCAATCAGGACCTGGGCAGACCCTTGAAGCCCCACAGTGACATGGGCTATGTACCTGTCCATCCCATTGTGCCTCCCATACCCCCTGCCCCTGGCACGGTGCACACAGCCCATCCCAGCCCGCACCTCAGTGTGGTTGGTGTATATGTAGTAGAGCACGTGGGTGAAGACGTAAGGCGAGAGGTCATGCAGGGTGATGGCTGGGAGGCCGCCAGAGGCCTCAAGCCCTTCATTCTCTCTGAAGTGGTCATCCAGCAGGGCCCGGAAGTAGTCACTGCGGCCACAGAAGAAGGCCTGGGGGAGGCTGGGCTTAGGAAAGGCCAAGGCTGGGGCTGAGCCCAGAGAACCTGGCCCAGGGCTTAAAGTAGGGGGTCAGGGGGCTGTGGGGTGGACAGCACCTTGTGGCAGAGGAAGCTGCAACCCTCCACTTGGAAACAAACATCAGGACAGATGTAGAAGCCATCAGGGAAAGGGAAGGGCAGCTCCCCAAGATCACCCTGGGGGATAAGAGAGGAGACACCATTAGAGTAGGTGAGAGAAGGCAGAATGGCTGGCCTCGGCCAAGAACCCACTCTAGCTTGACCCTGGAGGGGTGGAATGCAACCCCAGTTATAGATTTAACTACAAGACAAACAACAAAAGGAAATAACTAGGCCCAGAAAAGGGAAGTGACTGACTCAAGGTCACAAAAGGAATTGAACCCAAATATGGGGCTTGCCTACCATAGCCCTGTCCCCACATAAGTCTCCTGCCCACCAGGCCCAGCCCCAGACCCGTGTGTGCTTACTCGGAGCTCAGGGGGCAGGGCACAGTCGGCCAATAGGGCCAGGTCTTCCTGTAGCCGGGGGTCCTCTGAGGGGGGCCTGATGCTGAGCACCTTCACCTGAGTGCCTGGCTTGGATGCCACTGCAGAGGAGAGGGCAGCTTCAGGGAGCCAAATTGGCCCTGCCAGTTCCTGCCCAAAGCCCTGGACCCCAAAGCGTGGACGCACCGAACTCAGACACTTCCTTGCATTTGGCCTCCAGGTCATTGAGCAGATCCAGTAACTGGCACTGCTTGGCCAGGCGCTCACAGTCACTGATGTGTTCCACACCGACTTCCAGGCCACCTGGGTGCAGTGAGGGAGGCTCAGAGCCTCAAAGGGGCCACTAGCAGTACCCAGGCACATAGAGTTTCATAGGTGGTCCCTCCCGCTCAGCCACTTGGCTGCAGGGCTGAGACTTCTGGGCCTACATGCTGCTTTGATTCTCCCATCCAGAGCCACTGTCTGAGTTCTACAGACCCCAGAAGAGATGAAAGGGGGCTCAGTTTATAGGTGAAACAAGCTCTTCCTTAGCGAACAGACCGGCTCATTGTCTCCCAACCCAACCCAGAAGGCAACTGGAACTGCCTCACACTGCAGGGCACAAAGCACCAGGTGGTAAAAGGTCAGCCCAAGGCCACAGCTGGGTCTGATGCTGGACAGAAACACAGTCCCCTCCCTGCCGGCCTGACTCAGGCCTGGGGGGTCACCTGTATACAGGTACTGCAGTAGGGCCCCAAAGGCCACAGGATTGATCTGCAGGCAGACAGCCGGGAAGGAAGGTCAGAAGCGTGGTCCAGCACAAGCCCCCCGCTGTCCCTCTGCTCCCCTGCCCCAGGGAGGGATGCACCAGTGGGTGCTTGAGGACCACGATGTTCTTGCCCTTCCATTTGGTGTCCAGCATGTTGGCAAAGTAGGTGCTGCGTGCACCCAGAATGCAGCGATGGGCCTGGAAGGGCTTCCCGTGCACCACAAAGAGCACGTCGCTGTAGATGCCTTGATCCAGAAGCCTGGGGGGAGCAGGAGGAGGGGGCCTCAGCAGAGTCCCTCTCCTCAGTCTCACCACTCCAGTCCCCCATCTCTTCCTGTAGGAGAGCTCTCAGCCCCATGCAGGCCACACCCATCACAGAATCACTGGGCAAAGGCCACCCAGATGCCCAGTGTTCCACCTCACCGCTGCAGAAAGTCCTCATAGTAGTCCCGCCTCCTGCAGGAGGCTGTCACTTGCTTATAATCCTTCAGGGCCCGGCGGATGGTATCACTTGCAGCCCCATAGAAGCAGCGTTCACCCTGGAAGGTGCTGGCCTCACAGCGGGCTCCTGTGGGCAGCAGGGCTCATTAGTTAGCAGGGCCATAGGGCTGCGTGCTGCAGGTGGGGAGGGGCCAGGGAAATCCTAATCCCCCTCCTCCTCCACTCCACCCTCGTGTAGGGGGCAGAGCCCTGGAGACACCCTGGGCCGACTGTGCCCCCAGGGCTTAGGCACACTGCAAAGTCCTGTACACTCACACCCCCACAGTCACTCACACACCACAGACTACACAAAACAGAATAGGCTCAGAGGCTGGCCCTGTTCTATGTACTGCCAATAACAGATAGCCAGGTCCCTGTCCTTACTGAAGTGACACTCCAGTGGGGCAGAAGGACAATAAACAGATTAACAAATGATATCAGGTGCTATGAAGAAAAACAAACCAAGATGAAGGGTGACAGTGATGGCAGCTGCCACTGAGGGAGGCCATGGAAGGGCACTGTGGCAGTGACAATGTATATGCAGAGAAACCTGAATGAAGTGAGGGAGTTGGCCATGGAAAGATCTGGGAAAGGGCAGTCTAAACAGGAGCAAAAGGCCCTGAGGCAGAAGCAAGCTTGGAATGCTGGAGCACCACAAGAGACCAGTGTGGTTGGAACAGTGAGCACATGGAAGAGCGAAAGGGGGGCCAGAGAAGAACAGGTCATGTAGTAGTTCCGAGGCAAAGCAAGGCATTCTAGTTCTATGCTAAATACAGTGGGAAGCCATCAGAGGATTTTAATAAGCCTGTCACATTTGTTGAGCTCCACTTGGCTACAATATAGAAAACAGACTGTAGGTGGGGCAGAAGGGGCAGCAGCAATGAGGCTGTCACTACATCCAGGGAGAGATAGTCCAGGGAGAGATGCTATGGCTGGGTTGGGCAGGAGCAGTGGCGATGGAAAGTGGATAGAGCAGAGAATAGGTTCTGAAAGTAGAGTTAACAGTACCTGCTGACTGGGTGTAGCGGTGAGGGAGAGGACTTAAGGTTGTTTGCAAATGTGTACACATGCCTTAGAGCCGTTGAGCACATGTGTATACACACACACACACACACACACACAGCCCATCCCCTTCCCTCACCATTGGCCAGAAGGTAGAGTACCAGCTCTTCGTGTCCACATAGACAGGCATAGTACCTGAAGGGGAGAAGTAGTACTGGGAAGCAGCTGTCAGGACTGAAGGGGCTGCCCCACCACCCTAACCACCCACCCACCTGGCACTCACAAGGGGGTGCTATCCCACTTGTCCCATACATTCACATCCACATCTCGCTGCTCCAGCAGGTACCTGGGCAGAGAAGGAGCAGGTCAGAGCCTGGGTCAGCACATGCTCATAGTCTGAGAGAGGAGACCCATGGAAGCAGAAGCAGGGAAGACATTCTTTTTGGCTAAAGGAAGTCTCCCCAGGTGAGGGCAGGTGACAGACCAGAGCAGGAAAGACATTCCAAGCAAAAGGACCAGTGCAGACAGGGTGTGGAGGTGGGAACACAAAAGGCAAACCCTGAGCTGAAGAGGCTGACTCTCGCCTGTAGGCATTTGGGAGTGAGGAGGTGACGGGTGCTTTGCTTCTGCCAGGACCCTCTGGCAGCTTGGGGCAGTAGGTTGGCTGGGGGAGGCTGGAGGCAGGGGGACCAAAGAGGAAGCTGCCTGTAGGCATTCTGGTAGTGTGGAAGCATGAAAAGAAGTAGATTCTAGAAGGCAGAAGTCAGGAGACAGGTAGCTGATGGAATGTCGAGGTAAAGGGATCATGGATGGTGGTGAAGCCATCACTAAGCAGGGCAGCTTTGGGGACATCCAGGTTGGACCAAGGAGTGCTGAGTAGCACTCAGCTTTGGGAGTTAGCAACTAACTCCTAGGTGGCACCTGATGTGAGGGAGGGGCCCAGGGAAGCTGTGGTAGAAATTAATTGGGAAGGAAGGGCCAAGGAAGAGAGGCTTCCCACATCCCCAATAGGGCACACTTTCCCTTCCGCCAGAGCCACGGAGATGGCAATTTCAGCGCCATTATTTGCTTTAGCTACATTTATGAATTTCCGAATCGCCGGTGACCAGGGGCGGATTCTGGGCCCTACGTGTTCCCAACGCCAGGTCCAGCGTGGTCTGAGACGAACCACAGCGGGAGTCCCAGGCCTGCCCCAGTCTGACTCCGAGAGCTCAGAGGGTGACCCTCCTCTCAGCGCCCCCTCTTCCCAGCCTCCCCGTGGCAGTCTTCTCCTCCAGGAGGTCCTCTGCGACCACCCCCCCCGGAGTAATCGCCCACAGCTTGTAAGGCTGCCGTGGTCCACCCCCCGAGCCCCCTGCGGCCCGTTGGCGGGTGGTCTGTGGAGGGACGGGTGCTGAAGCCAAGGCGCCCTCCCTCCCCGCGGCCTTCCCCTGCGCACCCCGGGGTGGAGGCGCTCGGAGGGCGCCGCACCTCCCGGGGCTGCGAGGTCCTCACCGCACTCGGCCCACGTCCCCCTTCCTGCAGCTGGAGAAGAGGTCGCTGATATCCATGGCGGACGCGGCGGACGAGCGTCGACCCGCCCGGTAGCGGTGAGTACGGGCC